GTCATGGTACCCACTCACCTAGCAGATTACACATATATACATATGTGTGTATGTATGTACCTTATGAATTATTTTCATGGCATTTTCTCTGCATTTACTGCTCATTAACTCATCAACGATGATGCAGACAAAAGACTAACAGTGGCAAAAATGCAATGATTATGCAAAAAATATATATTTAAATAGTGAAAAAAGGTTCGATAAATACAGATACATAAACACACAAATACTATACCTAAGGTAAAAACAATTATTTTTCTTTTTTAAAAAAATTCTTTAATCTTTAACCCTCTTCAAGGTTTCATAAATTTATAAACTTCAACTTCAACTCCATCTGGCTTTATAGTTAGGCGTTATAATATTGTTGGAAAAAATTTTAAAAACTCTTTTTTTCTCGTTTCGGGATTTAGTAAATAGATAGGCCAATTTCAGATGGGCTATTTAAGTAGAGATTGATTATTATTTTTCATTATTTAATTGAATTTCTTTATTATTATTATTTAGTTTGTTTTATAACTTTTAGATTTTATTGCTTTAAAAGAAAAATAGATAGTTTTTAGTGTTTAAAAATCTATTTTATGTATTTAGTCTTATTTTATAATTAAGTTTTCTTTTAATTACTAGATCTTATTGTTATCAAATGAAAAATATATATTAAAAAAAAAACATATTTTTTAAATTTATTTAAATTTTAGAAACTAATTAATTCATTTTTATTTTCATATTTTTTTTATTTATTTTAATGTTTAATAAGAGGATATATATTTTATAATTTTTCGAAACTTGTTTTATGCTTTTTTCAGATTTTTTACATTATGTTATTTTTGCTTGTTTAATTTAGTTAATTTTTAAATTTTTTAAAAAAGGATTTTATGTATTTGATTCTTTTTTGAATTAATTTTTTTTAACCTAATTTTTAGATTTTATTGTTAAAAAGAAAAAATAAGTTTTTTAAATTCATTAAAATTTTAGAAACTTATATTTTTGTTTGTTTTAAATAGAAAAATCTATATAAATTTTATTTTTGTTTTAACATTTTAAAGTTTCTTCAAATTTTTAGATTTTGTTTTAAAAATAAAAATGTATATTCTTTTATTTATTTTTTTTTTTAATTTTTATAAACTTGTTTCTATTTTTGTTTGTTATTTTTTAATTTAATTTAACTTGTCTTGTTTTCAGATTTTATTGTTTTAGAAAGAAAAATATATTTTTTTAATTTCATTTAACTTTTATTTAAAAATGAATTTTAATTTTTAAATTTCGATGTCTAAAAATTAATACAATGTTTTTGATATTTTGAGGCGTTTAAAAATTAAAAATATAAATTTTTTATTAAATTTAATTTTTAGAAACTCATTGGATTTTAGTTTATTTCGTTTTAAAATTAAATTTTTAGACTTTAGTGGTTTTTAGTATTTTTTTATTTCATTTAATTTTTAGGAACTTAGATATTATATAAAATATGTTATTTTAGTTTTCTTTTCTTTTTTAAATTTAATTATTTTATTTTTTTAATTTGTTTTTTCTAGTTTCAAAAAAAAAATATTTCTTTTTATTAAATTTTGTTTTAGAAAATAAAACCTAATTGCAGATCTTTCAATTTACGCAGTTTCAACATGCCACCACTGTGCGATATAGCCAAGGCAACATCTTTATAGGAATTTTCGTGCATTATTTGCTTTTTAAAAATTAAATTGTCATTGCATTTTCGTAAGCGCCATGTGGCAGCAAAAAAGATATGCATATAAGCGTGTTTATATGTATATATGTCTTGTATTTACATAAGTACATGCATATGTCTGTATATATATATATATTGTAGCAAAAATGGCAGTCATCAGAAGCATTGGCAGCAAGTATGGCTTCATTGACCAGCTGCTGCAGATACAGAGGTCAAAGGCGGAAGGAAGGAAATACTTGCGGAAATATCAATTTTCTGCACATGGCAGTTGCATTAATTGCGTATTAAATTTAATTGTTTGCTTCCACGCATCTACATATATGTATATATGTGTAAAATTACAGCATAGGTATGCATATACATTTGACTTCGCGTTATTATTTAAAAGTCAATTATTTTTATTTTCAAAATATTTATAATTTCAATGCGAATAATAAGCATCTGCATAAATTATTATACTTATGTATATACGCGCGTACGCAAGCACATAAATCTATATATTTATAGTAAGCTTATTTATTGAACAAAAAATTCACCCCAAAGCTACCACTGCGGAAATTTAACCAATCCAGTTTGGAAATTTTTTACGAAGATGCATACATATCTATGAACTACATACTTTTAGATACATACCTATGTATATATAGATATATTCTAAAGCCCGTGATGACGGCAATATTTGTTTTCAGCAAGTTATCTTGTAATATCACGCCACAGAATTTTTTTCTTTGGGGTTATATAAAGTCAAAAGTCATCGTAGATAAGCCAGCTACGGTTCAAACTTGGAAGCCAACATTACTAACGTAATTTTTAGAGCTTAAATAATTTTTGATAAAAATATATGTAGTTCATTGAATAATTGCTTTTTCAATTTTTCCCAATAAACAGTCGTAGTACAAAGCCCAATAAAAATATTAAAAACATACTAACCAAAGTTTAAAACTTTGTGTGCAAAATCCAGCCAGATTTTAAAAATTGTAATAAAAAGTAAACATTTTTTATTTAGAATTTTTAGAAACGGGTTGAATACGCAGTTTTTTTTTACCTTATTCAATTGCAGTATAACAAAGTGCAATTTTGAGGTCACTCATAACACACCTGTTTCCTGTAGATTTTTGGATGCTGAATCCTCTGGCCTCAGAATTTTGAGATATTCTAACCCCAAAAAGTTTGAGGTTATATTATGAAGACAAGAATTTTATTTTTGCTCATTTCTACTTAGGGCACCATTTGGTAGTACTCTTCTACTTTAAAATTCATTTTCATTTTTTGCAATTCGATTTATGTTTCTCGAGATATATCAGTTTAAAAAAACAAAATCAAAATTTGTCGAACTGTGTAATTAGAGCTCGGACTGTTATGTTAAAAAAGATCCTAAAAATATGTACGTTCATAACTATAAGCAAAGTGTATATACGTGTATATACAGTCAGCGTCACAAATATGAATACCTTGCTGTTTTGACGATTTTATTTTTTTACATTTTCCATACCAAATTTTACTTTTTTTTTTTTAATACACATACAGTTAAAGCTCTCATAGATGGACGCTTAAATAAGCGGACATCTCCTATAAGCGGACACATTCTTGGGAATGAACAATTTTTGACTTTTTTTCATACAAAATTGTTTCTCATACACGGACTTTCCGATAAACGGACGCGGACACTCAAAAAAGTCCAGTTATGAGAAAACAATATGCCATAAGCGGACGCGAAGCACTAACAAGCGCTCAATTTTGTTTTTTTTTTCTGTCAGATGCTGACTCTTGCGCTTGTACATATGTGTATGTACACAAGAACATAGTGCATATTCAAAAATATTTTCTTTTCTCGAAAAAATTTTGCCTTTTCGTTGCCCTCTTCATGCTGCTTGAGTGAAGCGGGCAATGAGATTTATCGGTAGGAAAGAAAACGCCATAAATTTTAAATTATTTTTAATTCATCCTTTTTCTGTCTATTAAAGAATAAATATTATTTTAATTTTGAAAACCGCAATTTAAAATTTTTTAATTTGAATTTTAATATTATTTTTTACGAAATTCCTATAAGCGAACATCTTACATAGGCGGAAAAAAAGTAGGTGACCATCAGTGTCCGCTTATGGGCGCCTTCACTGTAGTTTGTTCTACAGCAAAAACCACAAGAATCAATTTTTTTAAATTTCATATAGTACTCGAGAAAACGCTATAAATACGAAAATATTTTCAACAAAATTTAAAATTTTTTAATTCCGTGTCCAGTAAATTTTAATATAATAAAGAATTGAAATTTTAGAGTGCTAAAAATTACCGCTGAGTTTTGACAATTTTTTTTAATCACGGGTGTTGGGCATTTTCTTCAATATAAAAAATAGATTTTGTTCATGCGTTGTATGAAAGAAAATGCGAAAATGTGGTCAAAAACTGCATACTAAAAAATTTTTATTTTTATAAAAAAATAAGAAATATTTGATTTGGAAAATATAAATATATACAATCGTCAAAACGTCGGGGTATTCATATTTCTAACGCTCACTGTATTTTGCTTATAGTTATGATGACACATATTTTTAGGCTTATTTTTTTGCACACAAATGCGAGCTCAACTCATAATTCTCGTTGACTTTTGATAATTTTTTCATTTGCTTACGCTATTGTGCATTTTCTTCTACAATTCCCTATCATGAAAGATATTAATTATGGCGGAAGCGCTGAAACAATTTACAAACAACTTTCCGAAATCGTATTCTGAACTGAAATTAAAACGGCAATTATTTATGTTTCATGTTTATTTTCTGCCAAAAATGTCATTGATCATACAAAATGGTTATGTGATTGTATACGCACCGATGATACGTGAAACAAAATTTAATGCGATTAAAAGTGATTAATATGTCTGCTAAACATACTCTACAACAATCACTAATACGATACTAGATAATATTTACATTCACTTTATGCGAACATTTTTATTTATTTTTTTGTTTATGGTAATCGGCAATCAACGGGTACATTCATTCCGAATAAATTTATTTAAAACACTATATTAAAAACCAGCTAATTATTTTTTTTTTTATTTAACTTATATTTGAATGTTTTGTATGTAGTATGTGAATAAAAAATATTTATTTATAAACTTGCCGGCATTAAAATTCCATATTTCGCTTCGTTGCCTTTTCGTTTCATATTATTTTCCATAAAACTAACTAGTTAATCACTGAAAATGAGTTGAGTCGGTTTAAGTTATCGCGAGAATAAGTTAAGTATTCTTGAAGTGTGATGGTGGTGGGCAAGCCATCGCAAAGTCTTATTCACCCACCACACGGCACTTTACTTCACTTCACTTCGAATGCCGCGGAAATGGCGTCAGTGTGGGCAACATGCCGCGTGATGGCCGACGTGTCGTCGGATGATAAACGTATTGAAGATATTGTTGTAGTTGTTCGATATTTACTTGCTGCTGCTGCTGCTGGCGTACTTGTGGTGCCTGCTGCGGTGTATGTGCCACTTTGTTGATAGTTGAAGCAGCTTGTGGCTGCAACTTATGCTGTATTTGTGGTTGTTGCAGAAATTGCTTGGCAAACTGTTGCTTCTGTTGTTGTTGCTTTTGTGGCTGTAAGTGTTGTTGTATCGTATGAAATTGTGTTTGCGCTGCCTGCACATGTTGCAAATGCTGCGTGGAAGCGGCTTGTTTAAACTCTGGCACCTTGACCGGCGCTACCGGTGCTTCTGCTTCAGGCAATGGTGGTGGCACTTCTGGATTTAAATCCAACGTTGGTAATGTCAGGGACTGTTGTTTTTGTTGTTGATTTTGCTGCTCTTGCTTTTGCTGTTCCAATTGGAATTGTGACTTCTTTAGTTGTTGTGCTGTTGCAGCTTTAGTTGGTTTCGGTGGCGCCGCTGTTAATGGCGCTCTTACTGAGGTGGTTGTACTAGTTGGTGCCTCGGTGGTCGTAGTGAATCTGGTGGTTGTGGTGGTGGGGGTTGTAGTCGTCGTAGGAGCTTGGGTCGTTGTTGGCGCTGGCGTCGTAGTAGTCGTGGTAGTAGTTGAGGTTGAAGTCGTTGTTGCTGTTGTTGGTCTTGTTGCTGCTACTTTTGTCGACGTCGTTTTTGCCTGCTCGAACTCAGCATCGAGCAGTGGCGGTAATAAATCATTGAA